ATACCAATTACATAGACACACTTCTAGATTTGAAGTTTTCGTGACTGCAGGGATTCATACTCTTTTGATTTTTCGGTAAAGTCACGTAGGTAATTTTTTTTGCTGTGACGGTTCCACCTGAAGATGGAACCTTGTGTTGCCTCCAAAACGTCGTGATTTAATTCAGTTGTTTTTTATTTTATTTTTTTGACTACGTGACTTTACCTAAAAAACTAAGAGTAAGACACACACTTGATAAATGATGACTTTTGTATTGCTGAATGTTAACTATACTCTATGACCATGCATTCGCTAACTTGCAATGTGGTTTTTCACAGCCATTACTGTATTATTATTAATAATTTATTGTTTAGGTAGGTAAGAAAGTGCAACTGCCCAAGTTTTGTCATGTAAACCCTCCACCACCCTACACAGCCAAACAAATTAAATTGTCATCGGTGAAAGCGTTTAAGGCAACGGCAATTATGAATGTTTCATTAACTTTGTTTGATAAACTGGTAAAAAAATATTGCAACGCAGAAATGTGAATGATGTAGTAAAGTACATACGACGCAGCTGACACTGGTTAGGCTATTTCACTCACATATTGGAAGGTACCAACGGAGTACCATTTTGTGAAAAGTAAAAAAAAGGTAATCTCGTAGGTGGACTGACCACCGTTATGAGAATTAGATTTTATTATCATTGCCCAGGGGTCTCACCATACATGTCTGAGTAGGGTGCGAAATAAGTTCAACATACAAACGAGCAGGGAGACACTTTAACCAAGAGGTGGACACAGCATGAACAAGCGAGGTAGGTGCCCCACCTATATGTTTTGAGCCCGACTGCCCTCATAAACGTACGAATGTATGATTTGAAGCTTTCGTGACTGCAGGAATCCATACTCTTTGGTTCTTTCGGTAAAGTCACGTAGGTAGAAAAAATTAAACAAAATGAAAATAATATATCACGACGTTTCGATCGCAACACAAGCAGTCGTCCTCAGGCGGAAAAAATCATCCGGCCGTGGAACTGCTGAATCAGCGAGAGAGCTGTTACAACAAGAGGTTATATATGTGTTTTTCTACCTACTTGACTTTACCGAAAGAATAAAAGAGTATGTACGAATGTATGTTGACATTTTTTGGCACCCTACGTAGCCAACAAACTACACACTAAAAGCAATTCTAACGAAATGAGTTTTCAATCTAGATTTAAAAGTGCATAGCTCCAGTGGCTTCCTAATATCAGAAGGAATAGCGTTCCAGACGGCCGCAGAAGCACATCTGAAAGCGTGCGATGCAGTGACCGTCTTTGTTCAATGGCTAGCCAAAATCTGCTGCGAGGATGACCAGAGTTCGTGTGATGGTTTATGCTTCTTGACGAGGTCAGCAAGGTATCGTGGTTCATTTGTGATAAGCACTTTGTGTGCAATGAGTGCAACGTAAATGAATTCGTTTTAATTTACAATATCGCGGTTAATTTTCAACAATGTTGCCGAGATGGAGTCGTGCAATGGATTCACTATCTCACGTCTCGTGCGAGCGCCACATGTTTTGTACCATCGTCACAAACTGGAAGCTAAGACTCATGGCCACAACACCATCTTTGTCGCACACCGCTCTGCCTCAGGTTTGTGAGTGAATGCAGATTTTTTTTTGGTTCCCGGCGAACTGTTGCAGTGGACAGAGTGAAGGCGAGGCACACAAACGATACTGCAGACAAGCCGTGGGTGTATCAAGTGGTATACTCACAGCCTAATGAGTCCCAATGTGGTTACGCCAGGCATGGGAGGTTAAGGAGGCACGGCGCTCATTCAATTCCACACTTGTCCTACATACTAAAATACAGCGCTCGTTAACACGGCCTTTCTTGTCGGTGCTACAATGAGCCAGATAGACTCGTATCTACGGCCGGCAAATATTTCCTGTGCAAATAAATTGCAGCAATAATTGACTTTTCATAAATTAACCCAAATTATTTACACGGAGAATTATTTAAAAAAAAACATGTTTCAAATATAAATCTGACCAACCACACAACTTAATTAGCATATATATGTAACTGAACTATGGCGTGTAATTTAAAAGTCTACTTAATCCATACATAAACTCAATTTAACTGAAACTGGGCCAATAATCTACACATTTTGTCACGACCATCAAACCTCGCTGCAATTATACGCTTTGCTGGCGGAAATTTCACACATGCGAGACCTAATCCCTGCTGTAGTAGTGATGAAATATATAATGTATACGGATTACCCTTAGAGTGGTATGGAAAATTTGTTTCTAATGCTCGTATGTTTATTTCCCTTCTTAACAAGAGCAATGGGAGAATGGCTTCACTGTCTTGAACGTAGGCTCAATGGCTGGCAATCCTCATCGTCATCAGGCATAGTCCAATCCACTGCTGGATGAAGGCCTCACCGAGCCGTCGCCATCCCTCACGAACCTGGGATGTGGTGATCCAACTAGCACATGCGCAATGAGCTCATTTCATAGCTCCATCTCCTTTGTGGACGTGTTTCTCTTTCGGACGCATTCCATTCCTTGGCTTCTACTCCATCATTAGGCTTGACCATCGGCCATCGTGTCTTCAGCGACGCACCCTACCCAAGCCCACTTACTCTTTGTATATGTCACAAACAAATACTGTGTGGTGTTAGCAAACGCTACATTAAGGATGGACACTACAATTGTAAACACATATACAGTACATTTATCCACGTGTGTGTAATTATTGTGTAGATGAGAAGTGCCAATACTCCATATGAACATATTTACAACCATTTAGCAATTTTATTTTTTATTAAACTGACACATGGACGTTTATGCAAATTATTCATCAGCTACAAAATGGGACCATTTTTGCCAGTATCAAAGTATGAAACCTTTTGCAAGGAAACATGCCTTGCGAAATGTATCTATTTGGTGTTTAAACATCTTACCACCTGTTTTATTGCCAGAAAGGGCAAAATCTATTTTCATACACGCATCAGCTGCACGTTCCGAACTGTTTTTCATGCACACACGATAGAGTGGTAACTTGTGGGCATTGAAACTTTTGGCCACATCAATGTAAATATCTGCACACCCGCAGTGCTTCTTTACCACATGATCGTGTCTCGTTTTTTCCTGTTTTATCCATTTTGCATGTGGAGCACACAAAAGACAGACTCGATAATGTCAGAGGCTATGTTTAGATGTGTGTGCTTGTGTCGATGACATGTGAGAATTGTACCCTTTGGAATCCCCATTAAAATAGGTTTAAAACTAGGCGCAGGAAATTGTTTATTTATTTTTAATTTTTATTTGATAAGATTCCAAATCAAGTATGCATATGCTTAAGTACGTTGACGAACGCTCCTAACGTTTAAGTCAAATGTAAGTCCATCAAAGGCAGAAACAAATGCATATTCACAGGAATTCAGTTGAAAACTTGCACTTTGTCCACTTAGGAATGTGGCCGCTTAATGTGTACATTTGCAACACACGTTTGTCAAGCCAACTTCAGTATCTTGTCTAACATGTACCTATTGTGAAAGTATATATATAATCTTTATTTGAAGCTTTCGTAACTGCAGGAATCCATACTCTCGGGTTCTTTCGGTAAAGTCACGCAGGTAGAGACAATAATTAAAAGAAAACACGTTTGAGTCGCAGGTGGACACTTGTGTTGCGACTGAAACGTCGTGTTTTATTTAATTATTTTTCTATCTACGTGACTTTACCGAAAGAACCAGAGAGTATGTAAAGTATATATATATATATCACACGTCAATGTCATTTTTGGCAAAATAAAACATGTGCATATTTTAACTGTTGACTATTTTTATTCTACCAGGAAAGGCACACTGAGCTATGTAGCTCTTTTTCAGAAGCCACCTGGCCACAAACGATAGCCCAACGGAAGTGGCTTATCGCGTGGACATTGAAAGCAGCCAAATACTCTAAACGCGCGTTTCTAAATGTGGAGGGAAAACCGGAACACCAAGTGAAAATCCACGCAACCACGGCGAGAACATGAAAACTCCAAATGTACAGCAGGCGTCGGGGTCGGGATCGAACCCACAGACCTCCTACACACTCGGCGAGGTAGTTAACATTTCGCCACCGCGGCGCATATAAAATACACGATGTGTGTACGCACAAAAAGTAGTGTTTTAAATGCAGTGTAATGTTGCGGAATTACATTGTATATTGGTCAGCTTAGATCCACCATTAACTCCTCTGTCATTAACACATTACGAGGGTTAAATTTACTTCAACAACAAAAAACGCAGCAATTTAAATTGCTTCTAAATACTTTCCGTGGTTTTGCAGTCATCCAGAACGGGTGTGTACCGTGTCTCCTGTTCTACATTAAAGTGGCACGCTTTCTACAGTTTGTCGTTTTCCATGCTCCACTAAAAAGCCACAGATCAAGAATGTTTCAAATTATAAACAGCTGTCCCCACAAGCATGTTTGTGTTAAAGAAACTTCGACATATCAAGTTAGATCTCGCCACTTTTACGTCTGTATGTACAATTAAACTGTACATGGTTCCTATTCAATAGAGCGTGCCTTGCATTGACTCAACTCTGCAAGATTAATTTATATATCTCATATCTATATGAATATCGTGTATTTGATGACAGATATATTCCCACTTACACAATGATGTAAACCAGCAATAAGCTAACCATTCTATAAACCATTATGTTTGGCAACGTTATAATCCTTTATTTGACAACGCTGACGAAGCAACACTTCGCTTAGTTTAACACGGAGGTTTTCGGGACCAATATCATTAATTATATTTACGCGTTCTAATCCAAAAATATCTGTATTTTCTGGGTTAAATCGCGAAAATATTAACGCCATCTAACCCAATATTCACGCGCAATAACACAAAACAACCCGTATTATGAACACTTCACTTTACAACGCCGTCTCCGATGCTGTTGCCCGAAGTATCTTCACGGTGCCACACACACAAAAAAACGACATTTGACGATGAAAGTTGTCATACTCACTCAAGATCATTGTTAGAGAAGACGCGGCGAGCTGGTTTCACTTCACACCCGTGCCACGGACCGGCCGGTCTGTGCTGCGATGGTGCTGCCCTCTGCCTCCTGCCGCTGTTGCTCCGTGTGGCCGAAAGCGCGTTCACGTTGCACGCGCACGCACACACGCGCGCGCGCGCATGCACCGGGCGTGCGGGGTTGGACGGCTGGGCACCTCCACTCGTTCACGACGTTGACGAGACAAAAGCTCCCCCCCAAACCATCACCACCACCGTCAGAGCAGCGTGGGTGCCTCGCTTGCAATTGGCTTGGCGTGAGAGACGCTGCCAAGTCACTCGCTGAATGCGCTGTGCGGGAGCGAGGAGGTGTGGTGGTGGTGCGGGGGGGTTGGTGGGCGGTGGTGTGGCGATTAGCGCGCTGCGCTACGAATTTGAGCCAGTGCTGGGCACCCCCTAAGTCGACTCAGCCTCAAACGAGTGTGTGAACGTCGCCACTGGTGGGGAGACAAAGGCGGCCGAGCGTGGTGTTGGCCACTCGCCCCCCCTCGTGTGCCGTGCCGGCCTTCACGGGCTCGTTAACAGCACTTGCACCAACAGTCTGTCAAGGCTGTGCGGGGAATCTTTGTCTTTGCGCGTGTGTGTGCATGTGGGTTTTATTATGGCGGGCAATAATAGTGGGAGTGAGTGAGTGAGGGTTGAATTACAATCCTCCTGAGACTAATAATCTTCCCGTCCTTGGGAGAGATTTCATTTTCACAAAATCTGTTAGCCAAATTCATTAGAAAACACATATTTCACGTATAGTCTTTTCATCCATAATGTATATTGCTCTGTAGAATTCTCGGCACAATATACCACAACAATCCTTTGCCCAGGAACAGCTCTCGCAATGGGCTTATTGTAATAAAATCTCACAGGGAGCGTAATTCAGACTGCATATGAGTCCATGCGCTCCATTCGCGGCCACGCTAAATACAATTTCTCGTGCCATATTCCACCATCTGGTGGCAGTTAATAAAAAAAAACACACGCACACTTTCAACTTTTAAAAACGATTCAATCAAAAATGTATACACAACACTCCACATGCTTGTACACACTTTCTTTGTCATGTTTATTTGAGTAAATCCACGATTAGCTGCCATTTATGCGAGATGCAAGGTAGCAAGCCCCCCAACCATTACAGTATTCGTAACGAAGGCACAGGAGACATTAAATCAGCGAGCAAGGAAGGGATGCTGTAAAATCCCCCGAGGGAAAATGGCTCGCATTTTATATCCAGGATACAAATTTCAAATAAACCTGTCCCGAGAAGCCACGAAACGCTGTCCTTTTCAAAGAGCATATCTCCCCAGCACGAACCCCGGGGGACCACACACTGGATCATGGCATCTCCCTGTTGGCCCCTCGTGCTTTCACTGCAAAGGGATTGATTGGCTGATATTGCCACTGGAGTTTATTTACGTGCGCGTTTATTTATTTGTTTATTTTTCTCAGCTTTTTCGTACATTTGGTTTATGCCACAATAGGAAAAACACAGTCGTGTTGTGCCAGTACTCCCATTAAAAAACACTTTTTTTCAGAACAATTACGAAGTTACGAGTTACAGTCGTGGTGGTATTCAACTCAACCCGTAATCATGTCTGCAGTCAACGAAATTACTCAAAAATTAGGAAGTAGTGGTTGTTCTACAATTGGTTCAGGAACACCAGTATAAGGACAAACAAAAGCTTTAATTGTTGCTCATACTTTTGTATTAAAGTCAGTTCTGAATACCCTGTATATAACTAAAACTTTTCGTGGAGTTTTAATGACCATTTGTTTGTTTTTCCCATGAGGCAATAACGAATGTATTTGTTCCTGGGTATATACGGTATATAGATTCCGTCTCAATAAGTTATGCAGCCATGAGACACGATCAATGATTTCAAACTTTGGAGTAAGTCTATTTTTTGGTGTCACGCAATGGGTTAGTCACGATCGTCTTGCATGTGCATGCAGCAATGAGTATGGGTTCAATATCGACGCAAGATTACAGTCTATATTTTACTGGTTGGAACCTCCTGGTTATATCAGCCCACAGGGGATTATTGTGTCCGTCCGTCGTGCAGGGAGGGGCTGGGTGGGGAGGGGAGGGTGGGGAGGGGTTGGGCGGGGAGGGGCTGGGTGGGGAGGGTGGGGCTGGGTGGGGGGTGGGAGGGGTGGGGCTGGGTGGGGAGGAGCTGGTCACCCCGTGGTGCCTGTATAAAACTCAACGTTTAACCTACTCACGCCGGCTTGTGCCCGCCCTCACAGTCGGGCATATTTGCGGAATACACCACGCCGCCGTTGACCCTGGCCATTGACCGAACAACCCAACGTCCCTACCAGTTCCCTCCGCAGGAATGTGTTGTGTCGAACTAGGACTCATATTTCAAGGAGAGGGTCCTTGCCTGTGACATCTGTCAGTGTGTCAGCGTTGGTTCAAGCAGCCCTGGCTCTGCTGTTGAGACAATGCATGTTGAAACCGACCCACGTTTACTTGTGTACTTATGGAAGGCCAACGTAAGTTCATGAAAAGTGTGAAAGATATATTTTTTATTTTCTGTGTGGATGGCCAGATATTTGAAAGAGATATATTGCCTGCTTGATTTTGTTCCATATATTCTCCACAGCGACGCTAATGATTGTTTTGTGTTAACTAAGAATAGATTGTAGTTATGTTTAATGAGACATAAAGCTGCACGTTCCCTCAATTGAACCGTGTATTTTTAATGATTTGGAGTCATTATACAACTTCGGGGCCATGGCTGAGGATTGTGAGATTTGGATTCGTATGGTGATCTCACCACCTGAGGGCCGACTGCTGCTACAGTTACGATTAAACCAGGAGAAGAATACTAACAAGGGGAGGTGGTTGTGTCAGGCTTGGGGGGGGGGGGGAGCTAATGTCTCAATTAAAACAGTGAGCCATCACCTCACAGAGATGCTGAGCATCAGCCCCAAACCTGCGCCCGAAGCGCAACGGTTATCAGATATGGTGAGTTTGATCTCAGCCAGATCGCTGATGGTTCCATTAAAACTTAACAAAGTTTGCATGTAATGTCTTTGGGAGTGCTGCTCTGAGCATTATCAAACAACGTCAAATTACAAATATCCTCATCAGAGCAGTGTTGTGGGGATGGGGGGGTTTATATAAGTGAAATTAATGACACAGCTTCCTTGTTCGCACTTTCTTTGGAAACTGGCAGCCAAGGAAATGCCACAAATCTTAACGAGCAGCTCGAATGCTCAATGAATATCGAAGCTCCATGGACTCAGCCCGTGCTAAAAAAAATGCGTGAGCCTTCCGTTTCAATCAATACAATGTTAGTAACACGGCAGAGGAGAAACAGAAAAGAGATGTAGAATTGAAGCGAGAAGAGAAATGGAGACAAAAATATAGATGTAGTGAGATGAGCAAAAAAAGATGCAGGCAAGAGAGATGTGTTGCCTTTTATAAGTCAGCTTACGTATATTTTGATTTCAATTTGATGTTTGAAGCCCTGCAATTTTTTCATAATATTGAGGCCCCTTGAGCTACTTGTGGCCCTAAGCTTTCGCTTGGGTTGCTCATGGCAACTTCTGCGGGGTCATCCCTGCTTAACCCCTCTCCCCTACTGTACACAAACTCGTGATGGTGGCCAAGACACAATGTTGGAAAAAAAGTGTTTTTAATATTTCTTGATTAACATTTCCAATGGACGGTACACTCCAACAAAATACCCACACATGCCCGGCGTTACAGTTCGTCCACATCATTATTTGCAGGGCTCGGTTTGGAGATTTTACAGGATTGGCCGTTCTTTTCTTAAAATGAAACATGCGAGGAGTGATAAAAAGGAGAGGGTGGGTGGGGGGGTTAGTTTTAAATAAAGTTTAAAGCAAGCATATGTTCGGATAAACTAGGTGATATGTTAAATGATCTTATTTAAGTAAATTTCTGATATGTACTCTGTGGGTCTTTCGGTAAAGTCACGTAGATAGAAAAATAATTTTAAAATTCACGACGTTTCGATCGCAACACAAGCAATCGATCTACGTGACTTTACCGAAAGACTCAAGAATATGAATTCCTGCAGTCACGAAAGCTTATAGTCGAGACTGTGATGTTGTACCTGTTCATTACGCTGCGTGGACAGCGGCGGGAATATTTCAGGAAGGTGCCACATTATTTTAACTGCCGCACTGGGATACTGACTAGAACCGGTGACCTCTGGATTGGAAGTCCAGAGCGCTGACCAATAAACCGTATGAATTCCTGCAGTCACGAAAGTCAAGATTTCTGGTATGTAGTTTTAACACAGTACGTAATAATTGTGTTGCCCGTATTTATCTTGAGCCTGAGTTTGCAGCCTGCACTGTGGAGTTCTTTGTGCATTTGCCGCCATTCATTCTCATGGGCAACATAATGCCGACGACTTCAGCACATCTGGGGTGGGTAACGTTTTCTCCATAAAAATAAAAATGAGGTCTTGGTTTTCCCAATCTGATTTTGGGAAAACATCTTCGAATTGCACTGTGAATTATCGTAGTGAGAGCGTGGCACCTCGATACCCTAGTAGCATGTTTGCTAAAGAATTGGTCAAATCAAGATTTAAAAAAATTGGTGATTTCCATTGGAGGTACACAATTGAGAAAAAAAAACCCGAGAATACGTGTACCCCAGCACATTTATTGGATTTAGAACGCGATCGAGCGTGGTGAAGTGCTTTTTTAAAACTGAACATGATCGTGAAAAGTAAGGTACCAATACATTACAATACAATGTGAACAAAGAACAACATGAATGCAATAGAGACACAAGGACATAGTGTACGGAAATAGAAACATCCTAAATCCAAACGTGATTGACTTTTGTGTCTGAACAGATGTTCGCCTACACTGATTTAACTTAGAACTGCATATACACAAAAAACTCCCTTCACTCTGAACTTTAGATTTCTTTCGATAACCTTACATTATTTGCAATTGCATTAGATATAGATTCTTGTTTATTTACATTTTAGTAATACGAGTTCATGAAGCTTGCCTTCGCCAGGTAAAAGTTTTCAATAAATATAATAATGGACCTGATATATTTTTTTACAATTTATATTTACGAGCAGACACGAACAACTACTTAAAAAATGTGTTTTTCTGCAAAAAAAATCCCAAAATAGTTGACGGCTTGACTTAACACCATTGGAACCTCATTTGCCAGTACAAAATATGATAATTGGTTTTTTACCCTTCTATCTATTTAAAGACGTATCCATCGGGAAACGCTCAATTTAACGATTCCATTCTTT